TAGGTTGGTCCAAGGTCAGTAATTTAACAGATCACCCTGGCCTTCCCCTGACCTTCCTCTGTCCCCTGCATGAGTTCCTGCACAGTTGCCCTTCTTTTTTCCTCGAACTTTGCTTCAGGATTCTATCAATAAAGGGCCACAGAGGTTCAGTTTGGGCCATCATTTGAGACTTTCTCATGTTGAGGTTTCTCAATTGATGGCAGCCCTCTGGGCCCTCTTGGAGTATGGAATGGACATCGACTCTGAGTAAATTTTGAGTAATCTTTCATCCTTTTGTGCTGTGCCAGGGTCATGAACTGCAACATCGCAATATGGCCCCTCCGGAGACCTGTGAAATAATTTTTGTAGTTTTATAGTAGAGGAGGCAGGGGAAGTGAGGTAAATGACACTGGAAACAAGGCCAGCCTCATGAATACATGAGGGTCTTAAATGCGGCACTAGGAATTTTTAAAAAAATTTTTGAAGGGCTGAAGATGTAGATCAGTAGTAAGTAGTTACCACTCTATAGGGCAACAGGCAAGGTCCTGGGTTCATCCCCAGTACTCCAAAGAAACAAAACTAAAATTTGTGAGCTTAAATGTCTAACCGTTAAAGCAACCTGATTTTTGTGTAAAAATACAACCAGGGCTGTAAAGTGTGGCTCAGTGGTGGAGTGTGTGCTTAGTGTGAGGAAGGCTAGGTCCCCAGTACTACACACCAACTCAACCCTAGCACTACACACAAACAAAAGCTCAGCGGTGTGGATTAGAAGGGAAGAGAGAGGAGCCCAGGAGACCCGTGAGAAAGCCTGGGGAGGTCTCTGGAGTTCACACCACCTGGGGCTCCCCAGCAGTGAGCCTGGGGAGGGAGTGGGAGGAGGGAAGCTATGGTGACATAAGGGAGGGTGTTTTCTCAATGCCACAAAAAGGAGTGGGTGCAGCTGAGGAGGAACAGGAACCACGAAAGGCCCCCTCTGGAAGGGGATTGTGGCCGACTTCTCTGGAGTGGCAAAATTCTTCTTCATTTCCCATGTTTACTTTGGCTCATTCTCCATCAGATAAGAGGACACTCTGACCTCACCACCTGGGGTTGACCGAAGGGCAGACAGTGGCCTTGGGGTGCAGAACAGGCCTGAGGCTGCAGAGAATGTGCATTTTGACAGCTGAACTGCCTTGGAGGCTGGAGGGGAGCAGGAGAAGCTGTGGTCTGTTCCTGGGGCCTTGGGCATTCCTCATACAGCTCAAGGGCCAACGGCAGAAGTCCAGGTGGGCTTTTTCTTATTCATTATTTTCCAGGAAGAAATGTGAGTGATGCCAAAGAGTATGATATTTGTCTGTGATTTCATATAAAACACTCTGGCATCAAAATCAGGTAATATTTGAAGAGTATTGTCTTAATCAGGAATACACACTCCTGGTGTTGGGTAGTCACATTCCAAAACCCATAGAAGGTTGGGTTTTACAAACTTCTTTTTTCTTCCTGTGTCTGTTCAACATGGGAGGAGTTTTCAATCGTCTGGTGGATACTAAAAATGATTGTTTTTAGTTGCCCAGCCTGGGCAACTCAGTGACTTAGCAAGACCCTGCTCAAAATTTTTTAAATTTTAAAAAGAGTGGGGAATGTAGCTGGGTATGAAGGTTCTGGGTCCAATGCCCAGGACTACCCCCTGCAAAAAAAGTGAAATAAGAAGGTTTAAAGTGTGGGGATTGCCCAGAAATGTTGTACAGATGCTTGCATCCTTAGATAAAGAATAAGAGTATAAAAATAAGAATATATTTCTTTTGTAAGAGATAGGACTCATTATATCACCCAGCTGGATCCAAACTCTTTGGCTCAAACAGTCCTCCCGCCTCAGCCTCCTAAATAGATGGTACTACAAGCTGTACCACCACAGAAGTCTTGCATAATAATATAACTTTTACATAATCAGTGCATCAGTCTGTAGTCTAGGGAGTGGCTCTCAGTTCTTAGAATTCCATCGACCCTGTGTTCAGTCACGCACAGAGGGTGCTGTCACCTAGACAGTGAGCTGGATCTTGCAGTCAGAACCTAGTGACTTGCTGCAGACAGACATTGTCACATTAGGCTTGAGCGAACCTTTCATGTAGTGCACTTTCAGAGAGCCTAAAATGCCAGGGAGCCAGGCATCACCAGGTGAGCACCGTGCTGTCTATCTGATCATGCCTGCTCTCACCAGAGGGGAGCTGCATCTTGCTTTCATTGTCTGAACACCACCTGGCGGACAGGTTCCAGGGCTAGGGAGATTGTTTCTCTGTCCCTTACTGCTAGAAGCTTTGACAAGCTCTGCTGGTCCCACCCCTTAGGTTTGTCTGAGGACAAAAATAACGCACCTGACACAGGGTGGGACTGTCTCCATTCTTCTGTATGACAGTGCAGGTCACACTCCTGTGACAGGGACTCCAGGAAAAATGTCTCTGTGCCTTCCTGAGGGATGGCCTCCGCACACTGACGGGGTAAAGGGGTGGCTGTGTCTGTAGAGTGGAACAGAGTGGAAGCAGGGAGGTGGCCTCAGGGGGGTCCTGCAAGAGGAGGCCGCTGTCCCCGATGCACTGGCTCCTGGACTTGTGTAAGGACATTTTGGAGGTGTCGGGACACTTTGGACACTTTGAGGAGCTCAGAAGCTCTGAACTTGAAGCCACGAACCAGCTAAATACGGAGCAGTATCTTTCATGAGACTGTGCAAGCGATGCTGGAGAAAACGGATTCTTAGCTCTTGGGGGTCCCCCCACATTAGGAGGAGTAGGAAGTTACTGGAGCAGCTGCTTGTCTTTATGACAGGTCTGGATCGTGGGGTCACGGGGTGGGCTGATGCTGCCTTTTTGAGTAGGAGTGGGCTGGAGTGAAGGAGCCAGTGCCCCTGCTTTGTGAAATGGGGAGGAGGACTTTCCTGTTCCACTTCACCTAGGAGGAAGAAAAGGACACGTTCTCCCCATGCGGAGGGTCCTGAAACTCTCGAACTGAGAACGAAGCTGACTGTCAGAGTCTCTGTTGTGCCAGTATGGGGCTCAGTGAGATGTCCTGCATTTGGGGAAGAGGTCAGAGTGCCTGGCATGCAGATTTGAGTGGGGAGAGCCCAGGATCAAGAGAGAGGGGCGGGTCTGCTTTATGATCGCATACTGAGACACACTGGGCCCCATTTGCAGTTGAGGCAATGAAACTCCAGTGGGCCCAGTTAGGTGGGGACCTGGATGCTGGGCCAGGAGGGGAGCGCGGGCCTGGATGCAGGGGTGGTCCCAGAGCTGCACACTGACCCAAAAGCAGAACAGCTGCATCTCAGATCAGGCGCTGACCCCAGAAAGTGAGGCTGCACCCTTGGTGTGGGGCCACTTCCTGCTTGGTGGCTTTTCCAGCCCGACCCTTGGCTGTGCCTGAGGAATGTCACTAAGCTCTGCTGAAGGGATCGGACTGTTGCAGCTGCCCTCGTGATGTCCTATACACTGCTCTGGCAGGGAGCGGTTTATATATATCTCAGTCAATAGTGCTAAATCGATGGAAAAGGCCCTGAATCCGAGTTGGCCCATTATAACCATCTGCCAGCAGGGCAGTTTCTCTCCCCTGTAATGCTCTGGAGCCGCTGTAATGAGGCCCCTTTAAGCTACCTCAGGCTCCTAATGTCACGGGAACTGTCACACGTCATGAGACCCGGTCACAAAAAGGGGGTTGGCATTGCCAATAAAGTCTACTTTATTGAATAATTTATCCATTAACAAAGGGTAAATAAGGTCTATGTTTGATTTTAAATATAATACATACACATGACTCCCAAAGTACATCTTTTTAAGACAAAAAGATACAGCAGGATGCAGCCACCTTCAGAAATAAAAATATAAATGATATATGCAGTCACCACTTACGAATCCACTTTAAGTTCTTATCTACATGGGTAAGCCTCACTAGAAAGACTCACTGACACCTACCAGCTGGGATAATGCCCACATCCGTCTACACCCAGCACCTGCACTGCCAGGGGCAGGGTGTTTTCTGCTCTTGGGGATGGGTGGGAGCAACTGAGCGATCAGCCTTCACGGAAGGGGAAACTGCCTAGACGAAGACCACTTACTCAAAACAGAGCAAGGACACACACTGCGCTTCTCATTTGAGAAACTGACACTTCACCCCACACAAAGAAGTAACCTCAATGCAGGAGCCCAACACCAAATACATCTAGCGTCAATTTCCTCTAGGATAGAAGGCGGTTTGCCTTTTATAAATAAAGTTCTGATCACAAAAGGCTTTAGTAAGCTGAACAGTGGTGGCACACGAGGGTACTCCTAGCTACTCTGGAGGCTGAGGCAGGATTGCACCGTGGAGGCCAGCATGGGCAATTCAGTAAGACCTGAGCTCGAAATAAAAAGGGCTGAGGATGTACCTGATGTAGTTTGCTAGAGTGCTTGCCTAGCATGTGTGGCAGCCCTAAGTTTTAGCATTGGAAAAAAGAAAGAGAGGCAGGGAAGGAGCGAAAGAGAGAAAAGAAAGCCTTGGGGGTGGGCATGGGCATGTCGCTTGGTGGTGGAGCATACACTTAGCATGTGTGAGGTTCTGGGCTCAATCCCCTGCACCACAAATAAACTGAAGGCCTTAGAGGAGTTGTCCTCACGGAGAAGATGGATTTGATTTTCATGAAAAGGAGAAAGAAGTTCAAAAAAAACTTTCTAAAGAGCAAACACAAAGTAGGGAGCATAAGAGATACTGAGAAGGGAGCCTGGGCCGTGTCGCTGCCCACACAGATGGCGGAATGGCCGGGCACACGGAGCTGACCAAGTGCGACCACCGCAGCCCGCTGGGGCCTGCTCTTCCTGTGCCTCGCACTTCTACAAATGAATTTTGCAAGAAAGCCGCACACAGCCCACGCTACACAAGCAGAGACGGGCTCGCTGGCACCCTTCGCCGAGCGGTGGGGGCAGGGCCGGGGCAGCTGTGAGGACAGAACAAAACAAAGCATAAAAAAGTAATGAAATAAAGAGCAGGATTCTCGTTCCTACTCTGAAATCGGTATTGTGATTCTAAAACGAGGAAAAAAAATGCTACACTGATTTCCGTAAGTTAGATAAAAGTGGAAGCAGCCACACATCTTTCAAATACATCAACATTTTCTGTGATAACAGCAGTGCTGCTCTGTGATAACAGTTTTCTGTGATAACAACATTTTCTGTGATAACAGTGTCCATTTATACATGTGAGGACAGAAAGCAAAGCCGTGGTACTCACCAGATATGTGTGGTACCCAGTCTCTGACCTGGAAATCTTTGCCCCAAATTAAATCAGATGACAATCCATTCCTTAGTTTTTTATAGAACAAATAAGAGCAGAGCCCCTTTTCCCCCGATTTTTAAAATCAGCAGATTCTAGTAAGTATCAGTGTCTCCCGGGCTATAAAAAAATGTGGGTATGTGTTTTTCTTAATGATGGGTAGGGTTATTTCCCTCCAGACAGTAAAAGTGCTGCGTCAGCACTTAATTTCCTCCATTTGGTAAAGAAATGGGAACTTCCTGGTGAGAGTAAGCGAAGCCCTACTGTCCATTAAGAGGGTGGAGGTAAAATCCAGGCCTGATGACTTTTTGGAAAAATTGATCACAACAGCCCAGTCTAGTCAGACTCACTTCTCTGAGCCCACACTTGCATCTGCTTTGATTACCCAGCGTTGCAACGCCCCCTTTTCTATCAAAGCAGCGATCTACCAAGCTACAGGCCCCTGCTGGGGGAGCCCGACGGAGGTGGAGCGGGGGCAGGAGGAACACCAGCCTGATAATCCCCTCTTCTGCGAAACCTAGCCTGGTCATCGGCTCTGCAATGGAAGCATCCTCAGGGCTCCTATAAAAGGCACCCTGCTGGCGGGGCATACCGTCCCATCCACGTGTGGAACTTAACTACAGATTCAAATGAGGTCGCCTCTCTTTTCTAAACCTCAAGAAATAAGAAAGTCACGTCTGCTAACTACAGGGTCATGGAGTGTATTCATTTGGCAAAGAAATCACGCTGTATTTCACCTGAGCAGTCCCTTCCCCATTTGGCAGGCTGTGGGGCAATTTCTCTGCCTCTGGGAATCAGAATGGAGGCTGGGTCAGGCTGCCCACCCTGCAAAAAACCTGCTGGATGCGGGGAGAATCCGAGCCCAGGGCCGGACCACGCCTTTGCACAAGGGCTCCATCCAGACCTCCGCATCCTGTTTAGCACTGGACTATCAGCTCCCTGTGGTCTAAGGGCATTAACGCACGCACTGCCTTGGATTTTTCCTGATTTAACGAACAGCATCAGCCAAACATAGCCCAGTAATAGCACTCTTCAGTCACCTAGCTTTGCGTGTGTGATGTGTGTTTCTTTCCTTTCTCTTTTTTTAAAAATAAAATGGAACGTTTGAAGCTTACTGGCATAGCAGGAGTAGAAGAAAACAACCTTGGATAAATGCACTGGCCAAAGGAAAAGAGAAACGCGCCGTCCTATGAGTGCGGAGGCTGGGGGAGAGCGGCAGAGGGAGCAGGACTGAGGTCGGCACGTGGCCCTCCTGGAAGTGCTTGTCGGCCACCACCTCCACTTCTGCTGTATCTTATGCACGAGAAGAAGGACGTCATGCATTGTTTGGGGCACACTTCACGGACTGGCGGGGTTGGGCGGGAGAGAAGGGAGGAGAGTTCATCTGCCTTCCTGACAGAGCCACCAAGCAACTTTGCTCCGTACCCTTCGCTGGGGTAGCAACAAAGTACCTAGACAACGTGTTGGGCTAAACGTTAGGAAACTGTTACAGCCTATGTGCACAACAGCTTAGTTCTTTGGTCTGTTTGGGTTTTGCTCTCAGCTGTATCTCCAGCCCTTTTAAAAATTTTTTAATCTTGAGACAGGGTCTTGCTAAGTTGCTAAATTGCCCAGGCTAGGCCCAAACATGTGATCCTCTTGTCTCAGCTCCCCAGACTGCTGGGATCACAGCCGTTCGCCACCTCATCCTGCTGACGTGGCAGCATCTGGAAATGGAAACTGAGGAAAGGTCCCGGGGCTGAGGGGTGAGCGTGGCACAGAAGGTGCCGTAGGGCTCCGGGGGGGCTCGGGATCGCTCCTGCTTCATAAGGAAGTGGCACAGATTTTACTCTTTCAGCTCCGTGCCTTTCTGTACCCCAAAGGCCACCCACGGTAGCACTCATGCCCCTTATTCAATAACTGTCAGGAAATGGCTGGAGAGTTTAGGAATAAGAAGCTTCCAGCTGGAAATCACCGTCATGCTCAGAGAAAGAGCTGAGAGGCAGAGGGTCCTTCACCTGCGGTGTCTGCTATTTCGTCACAAGCCTCAGCGTCGCAGGAGCCTGCATAGGTGCACTTACTGGTCTTCCTAAATGTACCAACGGCCTGTCAGACAGAAGCAGGAAGCACAACAGGGAGAAGCACGACTAATGTGAAAGCAGAATCAGCTACTTGGAAGAAACTGATGCGCTTGGGGGAGACTTCGGAATAAATGGAAGAGACAGCGTCTGACGCCTTTTGCTTCAGCATTTAAAGAAGGCATACATCCCAGCAAGCAAATTATTTACCCATTGAATTCACCCGATTTCAGACCAATCAAGAAGAGTTCAAGGGTGTGCCAAACAGAATTTTCCTGGAGATACAATCACCCCTTTGACTGACACAGTTTAATGACTGGAAGCCACTTTCTGCCTCTGAATGCAGTGCCCAGGTTCTTGAATCTCAAATACATCTCAACTCTGATTGCTCTAGTAATTTGAGAAATAGCAGGCATAATGTACCCCCGCCCCAGTGACTAACATCCAAACATTTAAAAAAATAAATTAAAAAAACTCAAGGAGGCAGGGAAACATCTCCCCGCCATGCAGTATGTAGGACTGGGGTCTGCCTGTACCCCAGGGACCAGCACGGGTGCCCCGGCTGAGCGAGGCAGGGGCGCTCCCAGTTCAAGTCCAAGGCCTCCTCTGCTGCGGCCAGCTGCCACTCATCCTAGGGGTCAAGTCACCCGAACTGCTGATTTTTCCAAACGTCTTCTCAAAGCAGCAGCAACCACAGCAGTTTTCCTGCAAAGCAAACAAAATCTGAATCTTGTTAATTCAGCAGGACTTTTAAAATTGTAATTAGTTGGTTGTACCCCTTAGGAAAACCACAGATGACATTTTTTTATAATGTATGTGTATATGGGGTGGGAGGGAGGGCTTCTTGACAGATTCAGCTGCTGACCATCGCTGGGTTTCTTTTTCTTTCTAGTTTATGGGAGATATTTTAGCACTGCTTGCTACAGTGAGGGACAAGGCCTCTTTGTTTCATCTGAAGCTCAGTTTCTGAGTTGTTACCACAGCCCATAGTCAGCTGGATCCCAGGATCAAAGTGAGAATTCAGGTCTCGCAGCGAATCCAGCCTTCCTTCAGGCTCCCCGGGGGCTGGTGTTAGGGCCCCTGCAGATGCCAGGATCCACAGGTGTTTGCATCGCTTACGTAGAATGGCACAGTGTTGCAAAGAAGCTACGTGGATCCTCTCATATACTTAAGAACATCTCTAGATTTCTTACACCTAATACAGTATAGACACTATGCAAATAGTCATCATACTGTTTACTTAGGGAATAATGACAAGGAAGAAAAGTCCGTACATATTTAGCACAGATAGATTTTTTACCTATTTCCCATCTACAGATGGGAGCCCGCAGATACACAGAGCGGATTGGATTTCCATTTGCTTTATGACCACCCCCGACCTGGGGCCCCTCTGCTTCCTGCCCTAAATCATTCCTTATGGATCTGAAAGTGTGTCCTCGATGTAGGTCTCAGAGGCTGGCAAAAGTCACAGGGAGGGAGCAATGAGTTGAGTGCCGCCAGGTTGATTTTTGGTGTTTCCTGACGCATCAAGAAACCTCTAACAAATTGAAGGAGATTTATATGCCTTCATTTACATTGTAGATTATGCCTTATTCATAGGGCCTGGAACGCTGTCTTTTTCCACAGGAATAATCTTCAACCACCAGATTCTTAAAATCAATATTATCTCAAATTTGGTTTCACTCATAATGCAGCTTGCCAAAAAACCTCCTCTCACCCTGGCAAGGGATACTGTTGTGAAGAATAATGTTTTTTTTTTTTAACTTCTCAAATAAATTTGCTCCAAGAATTAATATCTTAAATTTTAATGTTAATTCAAATTTGAAAAGTAGAGGTTTGGGTGTAGCTCAGGGGGAACTCAGCATGTGTGACGCCCTGGGTTCCATCCCCCGCACCACAAAAAGAATAAAAGAGAAAGTATGTAAACTAGGGAGGGGGATCAGGTGGATCTGTGATGATTCTCCCTTGGCCAGCAGAGAGACTCAGGTGAATTTCTGTGACCCAACCATAGGAGAACCCGGAAGAGCAAGGCAAGCGGCCCATGTGACTTCTGGAGGCCAACCTGAGCCCAGAGTAGTCCCACCCTGCAATTCCTGCAAGGGTTGCTCTGGACTCCACCTCCTCCAACCACCATTTCCTCCCGTCTCCCTGCCAGGCCCTGGCGACAGGCCCGCCTTGGAATGCAACCCCTGTCACCCAGCGAATGCATTCCCACCAGGCCTCAAAAGCGACTCCAGCACTTCTGGTGGGAAGGTGGTTTGTGGCAAACCTTCAGGGTTTGTGGTGGCTGGGGACAAAACTGCTTCTGGGGAAGAGGGTGAGGGAAGGGAAAGAGCAGACAGGGGCCTGGCCACGTTGGGCCCTGGGCAGTCACGATTCACCGTGAAGGAATCCTTGAGCAAAGTAACCCAGGGCACTGGGGTTCTTGGGACAAAATGATGCCCTCTGTTTCCCCTAACTTTATCCCCCTTGTTTTTACTAACAAACAGGAATGATCCTTGTAAATAGAAAGCATCAGCCTTCCCATTGACGGTTCTCACAGGAGTAACTGCAGCCAAACAAAGACCTCCAGTCCAGAAATACGGAGATGAGAATACGGAGCTAAGTCCAGTAGGGGCTGAGGGTAGCTCAGTAGTAGAGCACTGGCACAGTGTGTACAAAACGCTCTGGGTTCAATCCCCAGAACTGTGAAAGGGGGGCGGGTGAGGAATTAAGATCAGTGGGGAGCAAGAACATAGATTTACACATCATAAATCCTATGCAGTTATTAAAATTTAGCTGCAAAAATGGCTACAAAATTACTGCCCAAGATTAGGGAGCTGGAGCATTGATGTCTCCCTTATGAGGACAGAAATGTTGGATTTCTAAGTCTTTCTTTATTAGAGTACTACTACTTGTATAATCTTAACCTTTAGGGTATAGCTTGAGTGAGGTTATCGATGAAAAGAAAGTATTCACATGTAAAACTATCCCTTAGTAATTCCACCAAAACTCTAAGAGGGGCATAGAACATACATGGAAGTTGGTATGCAGTGGTTTTCCTGGGAGTCAGAGAGCTGGGCCAAGGTCAGAGGCAGCTCAAAGGGGAAAAATTAAATCTGGCTTCAGCTTCCAAGACAGCAGAGGGAACCGTGCTCTACCATTTCCTGGCTGCGTGGCTTTAGGTGAGTTATTTAGTTTCTGAGTCCTGAGACTTGGTCTCCCCATCTATATATAATTGTAAGGATGACCAGAGACAGTTTCCGGTCAGAGCCTGGAGCTCACTATGCTAATTATTGAGCATAATTAGCCCTGGCCTCAAGTTGGCTTAGATGATCTCTCCAGGGCCATTCAAGGAGCTTAGGCAGTAAGACTACCCCACTCCACATGGTAGGGAACCAAGCTCCTGCTATGACATGGCGAGCCAGGGCACAAGCACAGCAACATGAATTTGAGGATCCCCCCACATCAGGTGAAACACTGCCCTGCTTCCCTCAACATCTCTGCCAAGACCACTCAACGTCTGTCTCATTTCTCTTGCTGGAGGGTGGCGCACACCTCCAGGAAACCACCTGCAGCCAGGGGAGCACCTTCTCAAGACTGCTTGAATCTGTGATTTCCTAGAGTGTAACCCTAACTATCTCCCCAATTTTCTTTCTTCTCAGGGAAAAAAGAAGATTTGATACCAACCTTTCAAAGGGGTATCTTCCGTGGACTATTTGGTCATAAGGTTATGAGCGTCGGAGCTGCAGTTCTTCTGGGGAAACAGGAGACATTTGAGGAAGGGTGAGCACTGTTTTCATCAGTTACTGACTTCAGAACACACACAAGAACACAGGAAGAGCCAATGGTTTGCTGCTCAGTAAAATACTCTACAAGAGATATTCTTGAAGTCTAAACTGCTGCTGACCTCGGAGAAGTCACACTTCCAGCCTGCTGCTGCATGTCCCCCACTCTCCTCCTGCCTTAGCACCGGGGTCAACACTCTTAGGCCCCAGTCACACCGAGTTTTTACATGTGTGTCTTATCAAAACTCACGGAGACCAAGCACAGGGCCCATGTTTGTGATAGTCGGGCTGCAATGACTGCAAGGATGAGTTAGACCCTGGGGTGGTTTCTTCCAAAAGCACTCAAATCTAGTAGCAGACAGGGTGATGGAAGTGCCAAGAGAGAAGTGAAGAACAGAAAAGAGAGGAGAGGAGAAGAAAAGGGAAGAGAAGGGAAGGGAAGAGGAGAGGACGGGAGGGGTGGGGAGGGGACAGGAGGGGAAGGAAGGGAAAAGAAGGGAAGGGGAGGGAAGGGAAGAGAAGAGAAGAAAACAGAACAGAACAGAACAGAACAGAACAGAAAGGAAGAGAAAAAAAGGGAAGGGAAGGGAAGAGAAGGAGAAACAAAAAGAACCTTCAGTTTAGGGACCAAGAAAAGCCAAGGTGGGGAAAAAAAAAAAAAAAAGATGGCCTTTAACACTGGCCTTAATTGGCAGGATCTGGGTAAGAGCTACTTCTGAGGACAGATGGGTTATAGCTGGGAGCATAAAAGAGGCTGGGACCACCGCATGTCATGTTGAGACTAGGAGGGAAGGCAGAGAAATTTAGCACCATCATTCTAAGGCGGGGAGTGCTCGAGCGCAACTGGCATGCTCAAGTGGTTAGGAACACATGTGCCAATGAAAAGAGATAAATAAGACTGTATAAAATTTTAAAATAGAATTTAGGTCAGGGGGCTGGGGGTTTAGCTCAGCAGCTCAGCGGCACAGCACTTGCCCAGCAAGTGCAAGCTCGTGAGTTCGATCCCTGGTACCGGAAAAAAACAAACAAACAAAAACAAAAACAAAAAAAGAATTTAGGTCAAATGGTAAGCCCTGTTGGACTAGAATTAAATTTTCAACATAAAGGTGAATTCTTATTTTAGATAACTTAGAAGAACAAAGATTATTCCAAAAATAAATCTTCTGGAAAAACTTGGTCTCTATACAGGCTGCACATCCCTAATCCAAAACTCTGAAATTTGAAATATTCCAAAACTGGAAACTTTTGGAGTGCCCACATGACACCAGAAGTACAAAGCTCCATGCCTGACCTCGTGTGACAAGTCATAGTCTAACTACATTCACAAAAATGTTGCTTAAAATTACCTTCGGGTCATGTGTATAAGGTGGATGTGAAACATAAATGAATTTCATCCTTAGACTTGTGTCACACCCTTAAGATTTCTCATTATTTATATGGAAACATTCTGAAATCAGAACAAATCCAAAATCTGAAACACTCCTGGTCCCAAACATTTTGGATGGGAGTTACTCAACCTGTTTTTCGGTGACAAATAAACACATTGTTTGAATGTTGCCTTTCAGTAGTACCAAATATGTACAGCACGAGAATGGTTCTACAAAGGTGGTTCAGGCTTCCTTCACCCAGTACAATAATAGGGTGGCAAAGTTCTGCCCTCAACTCCAGAATTTACCCCTCCTCCATCTTCTACATAATGGGCATACTAATAAAGCCTGCCTCAAAGGTTAGGCATGAGGGATACACGAGTTAATTTTTGTAAAGCAGTTTGGGCACTAATTGTCATAGTGTCACATAATGATAACTTTAATAATTACACTTAAAGAAGAGAATTTGCTTTCTTTTAATTCTCAGCATTCTTGAAATTCACCTCAGGTACCACCAGTTGGATGGAGTAACCAAAAGGTGATTTTTGTTGTTACATGTCTAAAGAATATTTTAAGCTCTCTTTAAGGTGTGCAATGTCATTAATTTTCTGCTGTGGTTTCTATATTGTCCTGCCACGTCAAAATGTATTTGGACATCAATAACCTTGGATAAAAATACATTGGTGGAAAATGGGCTCAAAATAAGTTGGTTACCCTAATAAGCAGTTTATGCAGTCTGGATGAGGTACTGGCTAGGTAATAAGTCTATTTTTACTTGGCATCCGTACCAATTATCAAGGAAAGGTATATTCAGACACAAATAAAACTCAGTGCTGATGCTGAATTTAGAAATAGAGTTAATTTCAATAAAGACTGGCTGTGGAAAAACTGAGTACCTGAAGCAGAGTCATTCCAAGGTTTGTTGGTCAGGAGAAAAGTTCCATTCCAAACCCCAGGGAGTGGGGAGGTTGAGGAGGAAAAGAAAATGTGTTGAGCACACACCATGTGAAGCCCCAGGGGCAGCCACTCTACCCATGAGCACGTCAGACCTGTCCTCCATGTCCTCCCAGAGGTGTGGAGGGCTTACTGCGTGTATGTGCATCCTCCCAGGCTAACCATCCTAAATGTGGGGAACAGTCACTCCAATGTCACGTATCTGTGTCTGTGTTATTTCTAGAATCCACAATTATTTGGATGAAAGCAACCTGAGAGAGACAGAGACGCCAACGTGGAAGCTACCATCACAATTCAGAGGACAAATGTCCCAGGTCAAGACAACCAGAGGGATGGAGAGAACTGGGAGGATTCCATAGCCAATAAGGTACAGGATTGGACATCTATTAAACATGGGATGAGGGAATGAAGGAGAAGGAAGAAATAAAGGGTCTATTGATGCCACTCAATGGTAAAGGAGGAGGTGAGTTGGGGGTAGGGCATGGGTTCAGGCTGGGGCTGAGAAAACCCAAGTGGAAACATCTAGCACACAGGTGGATATGTGAGTCTGAAGCTCAGGAAAGAAATCTGTACCAAAGAGTCACATGAGGGAGATGTGATATAAACATTTCGGCAATAGGAACAGAAAAAGATTTCACTGTTAGAGGTTGAGTACAAGCATAGGTGCCATTGTTCTCAACAAATACTTCAGTCTTTCATATCTGGTAAAAGTCTCCTTCACATTTACTTGTATAGGCATTTAGACCAAAGTAAGCATTAAAAGTTGGTGGTGCATGTCTGTAATTCCAGCTGACTGGGAAGCAGAAGCAAGAAAATCAGGAGTTTAAGGCCAACCTGGGAAACAGCAAGCCTTGCCCCAAAAGAAAATTTTTGAAAAGGGCTCAGGATGTAGCTCAGTGGTAGAGCTCTTGCCAAGCATGCAATGAGCCCCTACATTCAATCCCTAGCACAAAAAAGAAAAAGAAAAAAGACTTAGTGTCTAGAACAGACTAAATCAGGTAAGCAAGGAATTTATAATTTTGAATTCTGTTTTATTGTGAAATATTTCTTCTGAATGTACATAAGCATGTCTTGCCCAAACTGTAATTTTATATATAAATATATACATACCAGTCCATACATATATGTGTGTGTGTTTATATGCATAGTATTCTGATGTAAAAACGGATATAAAGATTTGATAATAAGCACTTATGCCAAAAACAACATTCTGTTAAACATACATAAACAATGTAATCAGCATTGTTTTGTAAAAGTACAAACTGCTCAATAAAATATTTTTAGCAATTTAACATTAGCACAAGATTTTCAGGCTAGGGGCTGGGGGTTTAGCTCAGTGGCACAGTGCCTGCCTGGCAAGCACGAGGTCATGAGTTAGATTTCCAGTACCAGAAAAAAAAAAAAAAGATTTTCAGGCTGCAAGGAAAAGCAACAGAGGGAACCGCATGGAAGGTTAAGATGAATGCAGCTTCTGATCATTAAAAGACAGGTAGACAGGAGAAGAGGAAGAAAAACCAAGAGGCCTTGCTCACCTGTGCGCGGAGTCTGGCGTGGAGCTTGTGATCTGACAACCAGGGGTGCTTGAGAGCTTCACTGGCACTTATTCTCCAGCTAAATGGAAATTCAGAGATTTACTAGTAGGAACACACCCAGCAAGGTCTGCAGCTGCAATTCATCTTTGGCCTGGCCTGTACCTTTGGTAGACCAGATGGCTGAATGCCAAGTTCACAGCAAAGTCTATCTCTTCTGGAGTTAAGTGTCACGAATGGCAGCATAGGTGACCATCAGATCCAATCAGGATAACAACATTGGTAAGACAAGCAAGACAAATGATCAAAATTCTTGTTAATAATTGAACATCTACTCCAAATACTGTATATGGACCCTTTCTTATGATATAAAATTGAATCTCCTCAATTGAACTCCTAAGAGACAGTACAAGAGTAAATTCATATTACTGTAAGAGCAAAATGCTACATCAAAATGATTCTTGATGATTACAAAAGGAATTTATGCATTAAATCTTTTGAATATGTATTACTAATTTTTGAAACACTGAAATATGTTTCTGAACAGTAGCTTTCAGTAGCCATAAAGCTTCAGTTTGTAGAACTGCTTCAATATGTTTGCTTCATTAGATACCAAACATTTAAGTATAAGACTCGAAGAGGAGGGACATTGTACTTTCAGGAACTGTGTTGATATGGTCACCACTATAGAACATAAACAGGCATCAGTTACTAAAAAAGGAAAACAAAACAACAACAACAAAACTCTTCACTTCCATCAACCTCAGATGGAAACGCATTCCCAATTAGTATCGTGAATTTTCAGGATGGAATCCGCAGAGCATTCCAATAGCTGACAGTGCTGAAAATATGTCTGTTACTACTCTAAAGTCAAAGTTTTAAAGTCTGGACACTAGAAGGTTAACAGGAGCATTGTACTAATAATTAGATTCTGAATAACATTTAGGTTTATTTTTGTACCACTCAAATTTATTCTGTAATAGTGATATTTGGCTTTGACTTTAGTTGCATGCAAATGTTGACTCCAAGCTTAAGCCAGGTGCCCAGGGTTGCTCCTTAGATATTAATGCAGGAATGGGTGGGAGCAGACACTGGATCTAGAGTGCCTGACTTGGAATCTGCTGTAATTGAGCCCCAGGGCATTACTGCCCTCAGACTCGGCTAAGCATCTGTGAAATCATGGTTATTATCTCCACATACCACAGATTAATGCAAAAGTGAAATAACACAAGAAAGTGTGTATAATATATATGGCCCCAGATCTCAGTAGATCAGAGACAAACCAAGCTTCAGTTGTGCTTCTGACTTGCATAGGCATCACAGATGACACAAGGAGGATGGATTCTAATGGCCCTGGTGGTTTGTACTGCTTCCTGTTTATGCTTGCTTCTGCCAGAGCACAGGATGAACCTGAGTTACCTTTTCTCCTTAATCAGGAGCTTGGAGATGAACTCCCTGGCTTCGTCTGAGATGTCCTGAAATTCTTCATCCTCTAAGTCCCACCTGCATGCCAGGATGTTGTTCAGCGTCTCTGCGTCATCATCACCCAGGAAGGGGGATAAACCACTAAGTCTACAGGACACAGGACCCAGAGTGAGTAATTTTAAATTCAATCTCAAATCCTTTACATACAGGTTGCTTTCTGATTCTGTCATTTAAAAGGAGAGGAGGAAAATAACCTAACAAAGAAGCATAATTTTATAACCTATTATTGAAACCAGCAAAGTGTTTTCCTCCCCCTTGCCAAGTCCTAATTAAACAACTGTGGCAGTGAAGGCTGCAGCTACCCTGGAATATGAATCTCAAAAAGTAGTACACATTCCTTGCTCAAGCACTTTGCAGCTGGCAAGATGTCACATACTCAGAAGGCAAATGCCAGGAATGCCACCTCTGAGGAGTAAAGCTAGCATGAGTCATGCAGAAGATCGGTACAAGGGTGGGGTTCTTTTTTCAGTTACTTCTAGGGCTTTAGGTGATGTTCTAGGAGCCAAAGTGATCTGTGAAGAGGACATACATTCACTTTTTAAGATGAGGAGGGCCAGAATTTACTCCTTTCATTCACGGGATTCAACAGAACCTAGAAAGCAACTATGCTATAGTATTTTTTAAAGACCTAAATTAGGGCTTTTGTTCAAAATAGCCAAACCTCACAGAAGGGGCACAGATGGAAGACACGTGTGTGAGAGAGACTGAAGCTGCTTACAGCATGTAAGCGATGACCCCCACGCTCCACATGTCTGTAGGGAAGGAAACAAAATCGTAGTTCACAACTTCGGGGGCAAGAAATTCAGGGGTTCCAAAGTTCACCTTCAGTTTCTCCCTGGGTTTGTATCTGGAATGGGGGAGACAAAGAGGAAGGATGGGAAGTGGCAATCAAAAATCAAAACTCATGAATGCTGCGGAGACACGGACTATGAGACAAAACACCTTCAGCTCTCCGGTGAATTTATACTAAATAGACTTCAAAGGAGAGCACATATTCATAGTATTGGAAACCTGCAGAGAAGTCCCATAGGCTTCAAGAGTCAAAATGCATTCTATACATCCTTAATAACTGGAAACAGTTATGGAGAAAGCCACTTTGAATAATCAGGACATCTGAATTGTAGAATGTGACAAAAAGAAAGCCAGTATAGTTCCTGGCATGTAGGTGGCTTGAATAAGCCTGTGTGGATGAATAAACAGAATGCTGTGATACTTTACAACTCCTCTTTGAGGCAGGCAACCATGCTGAACTGTGAATGTGTCCACGTAAGCTCTGTGAACCCTTGGGGAGCTTCCATGGGCGAGGACCCTGCAGTCTCAAGCCCTTTTCTTTCCAGATGGAACAAACATAAAAAACTAAGACCAACCCCTCAAATGCTAAATTAATGGCTTCTGACTTAATAAGCCTCGCTGCATTAGGTTTGTAATTTCTCACATTTTTATTAAATGCATTGTGGAAGCTTCTAAACACTAAAACCTCCAATTCAGCAAGGTAAGACTGATTTTTATTAAATTAATTCTAAATCAGGGCATGAGAATAAAGGATATGCTAGATTTATCTTTACAAAGAATGAGCACCAGACATGTCCCCTAACTTTGTTCCTACACCTATGTCCAAACACACATACCTTCTGGCCAATCCAAAATCAATAATTTTTATTTGTTTAGCATCCCGATTCACACACAGGATATTCTCAGGCTGCCAGGAGAAAGAGACACATTAGCAATGAAAACAACTATCCTTCACTCAAATTGTTCTTGAACCACAACTAAAAATACAACAATGCTCAGGAAAAACATATCAGGCCTTTCACTTGGGGCTGGCTCTTCTGTGTGGGCATTTTCTCTTCTAATTATGTGGCGGATGAGGTCGCGAGTACCCTGCCAACCTTGCATCACCCGGCCTGTCCCTCTCCATGGTTTTGCAGTTGACCATAATGCATGAGTTCAGGCAGAGGCCTCCTCGAGAGAGGACAGAGCCCGAGGCTGTTTCAGGACTTCATTCCATGGTGGAGGCCAGCTCAGGCTTGACACTGGCCCCCCTAAAATTATTAAGTATGAATTCCCCTGTCTTGGAGGAATATTTTTCCCAAAGATTTATGAGTTCCCGGAGAAATGGCCTGATTCACTTCAACAACCACATTCAATGTGCAATATAACATAAATCTTCCCAATCCCTAGATTTTTCCTTTGTGCTTGGCTTTTGGGAACGTCACAAGTTAAAGGCAGGCTTTTCTCTCCTATTCATTCTTCATCTTCAGAAACTCTAAGGCTTTGCTGTTTGGTCTCAATGCCTACAGCCCTTGAGGAAGTGTTCCTTTGGAGTTAGACTCTGGTACAACTTTACCCTGCTAATCTGACAATCTTGGGGCAAAGCGGGAGAAAATCAAATAGAAGTACTAAACTCAGTGTCTCAAAAATGTCTTAGAAATGTACCTACTTTTGGGGAGATAGAAATATCAAGATCTTAGAAAAATAAAGGGCATGGTTTAAAGTCAAAGTCATCCATAAAAGGGAAAGTTTTCAGCGAAGAGACAAGAACTCTCAAACTGTTGTTTCAACTCCTCCCTAAGAGCTGGAGGCCTGAGCAAAGGTGCTGATGCCTGGGATTCCATTTCCCCATCTTCTGGCTGGGAGCATAACTCCCTCCCACACCCTGTCTGGGTGGAGAAGAGGTTTAAAAAAGATTAGGGACCCAAGACATATTTATAAAAGAATGTAGTGCTTTCTTTATCAGTATTCAGTAGTCCATTTCATTGGATGCACAATCTTTAGAAATCAATCCTTCCCTAAAATATATCGAAAACAGATGTCTGTCATTTTATATGTAAGTGGGTGCTATGTAAGGCAGTTGGTTTCATGCTTAAATAACTAATTGATCATGTATGCAGCTGTCTCGTTTTCAGAGAATAGTAGAGCATCCAAAAATCGTTTTGCAGAATGTAATGAAATAGCTCTGAGGGCACGTCCAAAAGTTAATGTTTATGATCAGGAAATCAAAGAATTTCCATTAAATGAGATTTGTAGAACATAAAAAAATATAAAGAAGTCCATTTTAAATCACCCCTACCTAATGACAGCCACTCTTAATGTTTTTAGCCCGTTTTCTTCCAAGGAGCTTTCTAAAAAGCTGGTCCTTAATGACCGATCCAGCTGTCATCTTTATTATTATCTTTACACACACATCATAAATAAAATAGCCCACAGCAAGTCCCCCATCAGTGTTAGGAAGCCAGAGATAGAGTGATGTGGCTCCTGATAGGTTGGCTCCTGGCTACAGCTGCCAATCAGACCCATTTAGAATATTCACGGTCCGGGACAACAGGCACGATCATACTCAGTTCATGGCCACGGACTTTGCCAATGACTTCTAACCTCTGACTTTGTCATTTTATATACCACTTCCCCCTGCCTTCCTCCTGCAGAACAGTCAAGGGGAAAGGCAAGGCACATAAATCAAGACAGTGAGGGAAGCCAAGTCGTAGGAGGAGAGGCCATGGAAATCTATTTAAGGAGGCTAGATTTATTCAGCTGCACAATCCCTGGTGACTCGCAATAGATGGTATGTTATATAGAATACACACTTTATCTCACTGCCATGCTGTGCAAACAGGGAAATGAGAAAATGATCGAGCCACACAAGTAGATACACATTACGATGCTCAGCTCCAGCCTTATACTTGACCAGGGTTATGTGGGCTCAGTCTTTTGTTAGTTATAACTAGAACTGTGCACAGTCCAGTTCTTCTAGGGACTTCATAAGGGACGGTGGCTTCTCTCATGTTGCTTTTCCACCATCTCCAGCATGTTACCCACTTCATCCTCTCTGCTTGCTGACATCTGAGCCACATCCTCTGCTGGTCTTGCCTTCTGTTCTCCATAGTTTGTCCTCAGTGGTCCAGCCAAGCCCATAAACAAGTAAATCCCAAAGTCCAAAGCTTTAGAAGAGTGTTGGGCATTCTTGGAGCCCTAGAAAGTTTGATTACAACTAGGGAATTCTGAGTTAGCTAAAATCCTCCACCCGATACACTCTAATGTGTAGGCTATGACAAGGATATTGTGGTGGTGATGGTGGTTGCAATTCTAAACTTTTAGGGAAACCACCTCCTATGCCAAGTTCTTCAACAGGGACAAGTTACAAGAATCTGAACAATCTACGTCCATAGAAAGCACAGTCTCTAAAGATGGTGACAACAGTTGAGAATGAGATAAAAATCCAGACTTTGAGACAGGTGTGGTGGCACATGCCTGTGATCCCAGCTGAGGCAGGAGGATTGTCACAAGTTTGGCCAGGCCCAGCCTGGGCTAATAGTGAGCTCATGGCCAGCCTGAACTACATAGGAAGACCCTGTCTCAAAACAAACAAATAAACAAATAAAATAAGAATACAGATTTTGCAGACATGGGGGAAATGTGGGTGTACTCCCAGCTTCTTGGGAGGCTGAGACAGGAGTATTACCCGAACCTAAGAATTCAGGGCCAGTCAGGGCAACATAGCAATACACACCCCATTTCAAAAAAGAATCCAGATTTTTGTTAATTTCTGAGAACACAACCAATGACCGGGCAAACTACCTCAGCTGGCATATATTATCCACAGGGCCTACCGACCAACATGGGCAGGGCTTGGGACAGCTTTACATTTTGTAGGGGAGGTAAACGTGAGCTACCTTCAGGTCCAAGTGGAGGATGTACATCTGATGCATGTGTTTTATGCCCTCGCATATCTGCTTGACAAACAGGATGGTGTCGAGTTCCGTCAAGCTGCAGTTCTCATCAATGATACGGTCGAACAGTTCCCCGCCTTCCACACTACGGAGGAAAGAGGGGTGAAACGCTCAGACCTTATCCCGAACTGGCGTGGGCTTTCTTGTAGCAAAGTGCTGCGTGAGTTTCTCTGACACTCCCAGAAAACACATGTGAAGCACTTTCTCCACCTTCTTTACTACCCAGGTTACATACATGACTCCTGCATTGGGGGCGCCACACACACACCTTCCTTTCACAGAGGGAAATCTCAAAGTCCTTTCAGTCCGGGGCTTCAGCTCTGGGATGAGTCTGCGTGTATCACTCCTTAACACATGTCATTGACAGGAGAATTCTAAGGACATGGGCAGGGTTCTCTGAACCCCAGCAGCAAGTTTCAACACTTTAACGCCTCAGACTAACTGGAGTGATTAAGTGCTTCCATGTGACTGATGCTTTATTATACAACGTGCTTTATGGCACAATGATAAGCAAAACCAAGCTGGAAACAAGTGAACTGAATCCCAATACCAATTCCGCACTTATCAGAACTACTAGTTTTCTTTCTTATAGTCAGACTTAGGACCTCACACATTCTAGGAAAACACTCTGCTAATGAGCTACGTCCTCAGCCCAGAACTAGACATGTTCTCACCCAAGTCATTAAGTTTTTACCAAGGCAATTCTAAATTGAAGCCTGTTAGTCCCAGTCACCAAAGGTGTTACATGAACTTTGTATTAGTGATCATAGCCACTGCTCCCCGCCATGCAGAGTTTTCTGTCCAAGGTTTCAGTTACCCACAGGCAACTGTGTCCAGTCTAGTACAATAAGATGGGGGGGGGCATCCACATAATTTCACTAGAATATATTTTGATAATTGTTTTACTTTGTTATTAACTACTAAGTAATAAATTAAGCCTTACTATAGGTATGTAATTAAAAAAAAAGCAAAATGTATAAATGGGGTTTGGTACTATCCTCAGGCATGCCTTGGGAGGTCTTGGTACTTGTTCCCTAAGGATAAAGGACTTCCTTATGCTGAAAATGAGAGGTAGCTCAAAAACCACTTTCCTGCCTATGACCCAGAATGAAATGATATAAGCCTGGATCTTAACAACACAGCTTAGATGCAAAGCCACTCTAAGATATTTCATCCCATTACATCTCAACAGTGAATCGCATCAGGAGAGGCATAATCAGAAGTAATTTTCTCTGTGAAACAGACACATTCATGTGGTCCACACACGTCAGAATCAGAGGGGCAGCATGCACGGTTCTGCCGGACAGGGAGGGGACACGTACTACTCCATGACCAGGATGATGTCGTTCTTGGACTCAAAGGCATCGTAGAGCTGAATGAGGTTCACGTGGTCCAGCTGGTTCATAACATTGATCTCGTTCTTCACCTCCTCCTAAGCAGGACATGGTGTGTTAGTGCAATGGGGGAACTGGACAGGAGGGGGAGACCCAGGAACGCCCCGCATCTTCACCTTGTCCTTTGTGCCTCTGGTCTTAATAATTTTGGCAGCCAGCTTCAGGCCCGTTGCTTTCTCTTCACACTTGTGAACCTGCCCAAAACGCCCTCTGCCAAAAAAGAGGACAGCACAGCATGATGTACCATTGTCAGCAGGGACCCAGGGAAGTCCCTACCAAGTGGACAGAGGGAAGTCACCCCGGTGTTTCTCTTTGTGAAATTGAATGGGCAAACCTATGAGTGTACCTGCTATCTCCAGTAAACTAGTTCAGCCCTGGTCAAGGTCTGGCCTGTGCATCACTTGTATCACAAGGTCCTGGGAAGAGGAGGGGGTTAAGAATGCAGATCTCTTGTTCAGACCACAGGCCTATGGAGGCAAGAACCCAGGGTGAAGCCTCAGGATCTGCATTTCAGGCTGTTCCTTGGGCGAGTCATTTAAATGCGAAAATTTGAGAAATCACTATTACAGACAACACAGAATTTTTCTAAATACATCTGAATATAAAAGGCTGGGCTTTGAAAGCAAATGAATAATACAGCCTAGAGGTCATGTATGTCAAAATATTTTTTGAAACTGCATATAAATAAAAAGGCAGCAACAATATTGCACATAGATACATACAATCAATGTACATATTGCATAGCTGCTGATGACGTTTTTCACAGTTCAGCTTGGCTGTCAACCTATACGGGCTTTGGAAGACAGCTGCTGCTAAGGATATGGCTTGTGTGTTCCCCAAAGATGTATGTTAGAAGTGTGGTCTTCAAGGTAGCAGAGTAAGGGTGGTGTGGAAGCTTTAAGCTGTGGGACCTACGAGGAAGTAATTTGGTCAGTAGGGGCACTGTGCTGGAAAGAAGTTGATCTTGATCTTGTTGGTTCCCGGTTAGTTTTCATGAGAGGGCAGCTACAGAAGAGCAATTCTGACCCCTCCACGTTGTTCCTTGGCTTCCTATCATGTGACCCCTGCCTCCTACACTTATTCCCACCACAGTGCCATTTACCATGATGTGATGAAGCCAGGGAACTCCTCATCAGAGCTAAGCCTATGCTGGTGCCAAGATCTTGAATCTCCAGAACTGTAAGCTAAATAAACCTCTCTCCTCAATTGAGCACCCAGCCTGGGGTAATTCATTATACTAACAGAGATGGACTCTAGAGATTTTTAACTTCTAACATGAATCTTTTTTAACAATTTTAAAATTTTATTTGTTTGATCTTGTTTCTTAACTGGTAAAGTAAGATAAAACATATATCCTTGTTCTGTGCCATGGTGGCTGTCATGGTTGGAAGTAAAAGGAGAGCCCCCAAGTAGGACAATGAATATAAAAAGGCTTCATTCCTGGCACCTGTGGGGTGAAAGCAACACCTGACAGATAGGGTGCAGTGGTGGCCATTGCATTCCCAGTGTAGCTACCCCACCCATCCCAGAAGCAGGAGACTCTTGGAAAAGATGTTGGATACTGGAGAAATAGTCAAGTGGTATAAACAGTCAATGGTATTTCAAGTGGTAGAAATAGTCAATTCCAACCATTCAGCCACCAGACTGGTAACCTCACGCTCACTGGACATGGTGATCAGCGATTACGACAGTCAGCTTTGTATTGCTATAACAACACATCTAAAATAAACAAGTTTAAGGAAGAAAGGCTTATTTCAGCTCATGATTTTAGAGGTTTCAGTCCATGGTCACCTGGTTCTGTTGTTTTGGGCCTGAACTGAGGCAGAACATCATGGTGCATGGCAGAGGAGGCTTCTCACCTCATGGCACCAGGAAGCAAAGAGAAGGCAAAGGTTCCAATCTGCCCTTCAAGGACATGCCCCACTGACCTCACTTCCTTCAAGGTCACGCCCCTAGTGACATCACTTCCTCCTATGAGGCCCTATTTCTCAAAGATTCCACCACCTGCCCACAGCACCACAGGGCTGGAGATGGAGCCTTTACCATGATTCTTGGGGAGACATTGTAAGTCCAAACTATAGCAAGGATACGAAAGCCCTAGGGCCTACACAGTGGGAGATGAACACAGAAGGAGCTCTGAGAACCCAGTGGTCCTTGACATGTTGCAGTATCTCTGCCAAAAGTAAGAGTGAAGCTGCTATGTCTTGAGTCCCCTGTCAAGAAGGAGGAGGCACAGTACTCAGTGGTCCCTTCACATCTCGAGGGCAGCAACACATATTTAAGGGGCGCTCTTCAAACTCATTGCTGAGCCAGCTAGGGCTGCCAGTGTTCAGTGAAGCCCAGGGCAAGATGGGACCAGCCCCCCCACTACACACTCTCCAGTACCACTGAGCAGAACCTGTGGTCCCCAAAGATGCAGAAAGGAACTTTAAAGGAGCCATTGACAAGCCTTGGCCAGACAAACAGTGAAAACCCTGGGAATTATCTCAAAATTTCTACTGCAAATAACTATTCTCCTTCAGAGAAATAGTTGCTGGCTTGCCACTGAAGTCCCTGAAGACCCAAAGACTTCAGACCTCCATGGCACCAGTTCATGTTTTGAATTTGCAGTTCTCCCTCAGCCCATCCCCACCGTCCCAGGGGGAGTTCTCTGTGATCAGCCGGCTGAGGAAGAAACACCTCAGGTGGTTCCATGTGACAGAGCCGAAGGAAGATGGACTGGGGAGAGGAAGAAGGGATTTTATAAAAATCAACTGACTACACCCTAATGACCAATCGCAGAAACATGTGCTGTCACAGTTGTGCGCATTCCCCATGTGTTAGTAAGTAAAATTTGTACATATGTGTGTAAACTTTCTACTTCACCCCTCCTGATTTACACAAATGTGCTGATGGTAGGAAACCAGGCTTTGAGTTACAAGACATCACAGAGGGACTGTGAAAGACTTAGAAGAGGAAAGACTCTCCCCCAGTATAAATGAGTTTCCTTGGTAAGCTCTAATCTTCCTGCATTAGGGAGAGAAGTATGCACTTAGATGACCATCAAATAAGTTCTTCAATGAGGAAATACATCAATTAAATGGATCATAGTAATTTATATAGTAACAGTAGAAGTGGGAAACCAGGAGCAATGATACCAAGATTTAACACATGCCACTAGAAAGACACAGCACTGACTCATTTCTGTGTTTTGTCTCCTGGGGTTTAAGCCATGGCTCTGGACAGCTTCTGAAACTCCTGGTGACTCACATTGGGTTTTTCTTACTTTCAGACCTTACAACATGCAAAGTAAAGTAGATAATAAATGTGGAGCTTTATTGTGACAATTTTCAAGAATGGTTCCCATCTCTTAAAATGTTTGCTCATAATGCTTCTGGTTGTCAGAGGGAGACCAGCGAACATGTATGGGGTGCTCAGGCTCTGTCTTTCTGGAGGCCCTTTGCTCTCACTGAGACTGTCCAAAGGGAGCAATACTTACCCTCCTAGGATTTCTGTTTTGCTCACAGTGTATAAGCTGTTGACTGCTGCTTGTTTGGCTGTCACAATACGATGATCAAACGGGGCAGCAGGAGCCGGGATGTCATCTAAAAGATTGGAGAAAAAGAAGGGCTGCTGTGAAGCAGCCTGAACTCTTTCTAGCATCGTGCGTTTGGCTTCATAGTAAAAATTATCTTCTTTAGTAATAAAATACGGTGTGTCACCTGTTTCAACCCAAAGATCCAGGGATATAAATTTTCATTTCTTGTTGTGACCTGTGATTCATGAAGGTGGTATCTGACATCTTTAAGAAAGAATGTCAGGACAACTTACCTATCATCTATACCCTCTTCAGGACCACTTTTAGAACTGTCAAGAGAGTCAAAAATCTCTGACCCTGTCACAGTTGAAACAGGTAATACTTCCAGGGGTAGGGGTGTAGCTCAGGTGTAGAGCATTTCCTTAGCAAGCTTGAGGTTCTGCATCTGATCCCCAGAATCACAAACAAAAATAGATTTCCAAGCCCAAGACTATTTTAGGTCAAATATGAGAAATTATTTGATCCACTTTTTAAAAAAAGTGCCTAAATAGAATAGTTCATTCTTTTAATTAATGTGGAGAGAAAAAAGAAAAATGAAACATTTCTTCATGTCATTGATATTATATATTACTTGCCAAAATGTTTTAGTCTTTATTTAAGACACTTTTAAGGCACAAAGATGGCATTTTCCTGGATGACTGGAAATAAAACACCCAATAAAACTAGGTAAATGTGTATTTCACAGCTATCAAATTTCTTCCACTTTCCACCTCCCATCCGATATGTTTAAACTCCAGTCCACCTCGACATCCAGTCGATGCATGTCCTAACATGCATAAGTACCCGGTCTTCCTTGTACTTTCCCAGGACGACTCCTGTGAACATTTGTGGCCATAAGCCCAACGATTCTCCATTTATTTCCTCCCTGAACAGCTACTGCATGCGAACACCAAGGATGCAAAGACAGGGGAGCAGAGAATAGCTCTGCTTTCAAAGCATGACCTTTCTCTAAAGTACATTTCTTGAGTACTTATCTTGTTCTAGGTACTCTACCGAATATAATATTGATTTTAATATTTTAATTTTTAATTTAATATTAATTTAACATGCTTATAGTCAGGTAACACAAATCTCTAGGAATCTGATTCAGTATGGCCATTCACTTCCCCGCAAGAAATATGCTGAAAAACGAAGTCATGAGAATATTCTCTTGGTGGTATTCATTGCTCCTTGTTTGATTTCTTGAGCCTATGTTAAGCACACACATGGTATCAGTATGTCATTATGTCTCCATTAGGCTGTTAAGCTAAGGGAAACTTAGTTGGGTGGCTTGTTGGGAAAGGATAAGAAGCTTTCAAAGGCCAAAACTAAAGCCATTTCCTACCCAGTGGGGCCACCAGGTCTCGCGCTCTGGGGGCCTGCGCGCCAATGGACTCTTGGGGTTCACCCTGTGTGCACTTCTGGCCTTGCCTGGCATCTTGAGTCTCTATGAATGCGCTCTCTTCACCCAGGCCCACCGCATCTCTCCTGCTCTTCTTGTTGTCCTCACCCAGGCAGGACCCCTCTGTCACTCTTCGCTTGCCGCTGCCAGCTGACTCTGGCAGCTCAGCATTCTGGAGAGGGGATCCTGTTGCAGAATTTCTTCGGATTCCCAGTGTGGAAGTGGCCTTTATGCTGCTGATACACCTGGAAAATAAAATCCAGTCGCAGGTCTCAAAGTGTCAAGGAGAAAATGCCAAAATTCTTAAACTGGAACTTTGCTGCAGTGGCCTTCTGATGGAGAGAGCTTAGGTTCTGTGACAGAGGGACACCATTTCAGCGTTACTGCAATGGGATTAAATCCCCATAACAACTAAGTGAACTACCAGGACAGAGACCCAGTGGTGAGCCCAAGTCATTCGACTGACTCTGCAAAGGGTCACTCTGAAAACCTGACTTAGTCTTCATTTCTTTCTGTTTTGTCTCCTCATAAAAAAGGGGAGTAAGTGAATGACAGCATAACTAAAGAAGCAATAACTGCTCTGAAATTTAGCAGCTATGAAAGAATCTTTATTGGTGGAAGAATTGGCCTGATTTCCGGTTTGGGGCAGTTCTTGATCATATTAAGTACATCTTTCTACTGATGGACTTTAATCACCAATGTTTACACTTGATTTATAGAAAAGTAGACTTATCCAAGACTAGGTTCCAATGTATTATTTTAAAATTAAGTAAGAAGTAGTCTTAAATCTCTAATAAAGAGCACACAAGTGATTGATACACTTTGTTCCAATTAGTGTTTGTTCATCAAAACCAAAAGCAATTCATTTTATTTTGTTATTGTTGTTGTCTTTTTGAGACAGGGTCTCCATATGCAGCTCAGGCTGGCTCTGAGCTCACTTTGTAGCTCAGGTTGGTCTTGAACTCTCAGCGATCCTCTTTCCTCAGCCTCCCCACTGCTGGGATTATAGGCGTGTGTCACCACTCCCAGGAAGAGCAATTCATTTTAATTGGCTACAAATTTTCTTGAATTTATGTGTGAAACTTTGCAGTTGAGAAGAAAGTCTTTCAATAGTCTATTTACAAGCCTGGAGTTTGGATAAAATAGTTAATTTATCACACATAATGAATTTAAGTAAGCTTTTTCAGGAATAGGTTTTTAACTTACAGTTAAATCTCGTTGTTTACTTCTTAACCCCTGGAAAAATGTGTCCTATATTGCTACACAACAAGAACAAAAAACCTTTTACTTGATCTTTAAAAATATTGATTTACTACAAAATTAATAATCATCACCTTTATCAACCAGTTGGTAGAAAACAAAGTGGAATTTGGCTCAGTGGTGGAACATATGTTTATCGTGAGCAAGGCCCTCAGTTTCATCACTAGCAACTAAAGAAAAGGAGGAAAAGAAAAGAAAACAATAAAATGACTGAAAACATCTCAGGCAAGGGGAAATAATAATGGCATGAAAATGTGGCCATAGAAAATCCACATAAACTGGGAGTCTGGATTCTGAATCCTTTCCTTAAAAACTCTCTCCATTCATCCTTTCATGACAACCTGGGATGGTAATGGTGCAAAGACCTATAAAACGTTAATGCTGGAGAGTGCTGTAGCCTACCTTTCCCGGGACCGGTCAGCATTGGTTTGATCAGGATGTTGCTTTTCCCTCGAACACTGATCCAGCGCTGTCTTGCTTGTGGTTGTTGATCCTCCTTCCCCAGCTTCCCTTCCTCTAGTGTCTTCCTTAGGATGGAGCCCATTTTCCCCTCCTTGGAACCTCAGACATTCATTTTTATCCACAGCAGCTTGTTTGTCATCTCCAGCACTATTACTCCCTTGTCCCTTCGGGCTCTGTGTGCATGAAATGTCTTCTCCATCTGTCTTCTCTCTTGGTTCTATGGAATTTCTCAAAGCAAAGTCTTCCTCCTCGACTCCTCTTTCTGTAGGGCATATGGTAAAGCTGCGCTGAGCTACAGAGGCATTGGTCTTCTCGGCATTTTTCTTGTTGAGTTTATCAACCTTTTCTTTCTCAGAGAAGAGGTGGTTCTTCTCGGTAGATCTCTCTGGAAGCCACCAGAGGACACAAAATATTTTAATGGGGAATGCACGTGATCTGTATGATTTTGGCTTCATAAAATGGCATCTCTATTCTGACTTCTTTTTAGAGCAGATATGAGCTTTTAAAAACAAAGTACAAAAATGCAGCCAATTGATGGGCAATTGGCTTTTGAGAAATTTTCTTGTTTTAACTAGTAAAACCAAAAGCCAATGAGATAAAGCATTTTCTCTGTCGTTTCACAAAACAGCATTTCCCTCTGTACAGGTTTTATGTAATTTCCTCTGAATAACAACAGAATTCTGATAACAGAACTCTCCTTACCCTTAATTATCTCATATTCTAAGGATATTATTTCATATTCTAAAAATATTACCTGCGACAACTGATGTCCTTTCACCTTTGACGGGTGTCCTTTCCTTCAGGTCAGGGTTCAACCATGCCTTCTCTTTAGCCTGTGGATACACAAGTAATTGAGGTCACCTGTCACACCTATCACCTATATTTTTCAACCTCAGCACTACTGAAAGTTGGAGCTGGGTAATTCTTTGTTGTGAGGAATATCATCAGCATTGTAGGGGGTTTAGCAATATCCCTGGCCTCCAGCCACCAGATACCAATAGCACCTTCTCTCCCAGCTGTGATAACCAAAACATATCTCAAATATTTGAAATGTATCCTCTCAATTACTTTAAAATATACATCATCAGGGTCGGGATATAGCTCAGTGGCAGAAGCACCTGCATGGTAAATACAAAGTCCTGAGTTCAATTCCCAGTACCAAAAAAAAAAGGACAAAAATATACATTATCAATTATATTCACCTTTTAGTGCAATCCATCTCAAAACCTGTTTGTCCTGTCTGAATCTTTGGCAATCAAATGTAATAGTAATAAAACAAAATGATTCCAGAGATTGCTAAATGTCCCCTGGAGGCAAAATTGTGCCAGATTGAGAACCTATATGTGTATCACTACATTATGCATGGAAAAATTCCACAAAATTCATAGTCATATAGGAGGATCGACCTGAATTAATAAAATCCTGTATAGACTGTAGTATCTGAAAGCAAGTGAACTTATTGTATTCAAAGAAATTCTGTACTTCTCTGTCATGGTTTGTAGAAGGTGGCCCATCTTCATGAATATATTAAAGGATATTGATGATGTATGTCTCACCCTTGACTTATGTTTAAATTGTCTTGATATGGTTCACAAAAAAATCAAGTAAAAATGAGAGGATATATGTGAATGAACTTTGGAAACTAAAAAGAAGGTGATGAGCGATAGCATGCTTTTTTATAAGTAGAGTTTTTCATTGTTTCCCCTAAGTGGATAAACATTCGTCTTGGCATTCAGGATTCTGTGCATTAGTTTTGTAAGCCCTCTAAAATACTATATAAAAGGTAAACAGTAGACAAATTTACCCAAATTTTTACAAATTCTAAACTTATATCTTATAAACTAATGAAATTCAACAACTATACAAAGGATCAGTCTTTTTTTAAATTTTAAACAACACAGTTTGCCCCAGGGTGATTTGCAAACATGAAACAACATATAGCTGCACAGCACATACATCAAGACAGATCACCATCCTATTTTGTAATTCAAAGGGCAAATCCTATGGGTTCAAAGCAGTTTCATTTTTAAGATGAGGACCTTGCAAGACACGGGAATGTTTTTAGATTTATAGAATGCCAAGGTTGGAGATCAGAGCTACGGAGTTCTTTTTAAGTTCAAGTGCAGAGACGGAAGGGGAAAGGGCCTTCAGCTTCCTCTGACAAAGTTGGTTGCTCGTCCTCCTCTAGGCTTGCACAAAACTCAGTATTTGCCCCACCATGGTGAACCTTTGGCGACACTTTCCCTGTCAATTTCCCACCAGACTGTGGGCTTCCACTGTGCAAAAAGACTGGTTCATCTTTGACTACTGGTACTCAGCCCAGAGATCAGCACATGGTGATGTGGATAATGAGGGAGACAGTGATGTGACATTAATGATGATGGTGGTGGTGATGATGCTGGCTAGAATGTACTGAGCATGGACTACAAACCATCTATTCTCCAGTGAACTTTACACTCTTAACTTTGTTCTCCCTAGAGCAACCTGTAGGATAGAGACTATCAGTCCCATTTTACAAATGACACCAAGATTGTAATTCAGTGGTTACTTTCAATCTATGCTCTTAGACAGTATAGCAGGGATGGCGAACCTTTCCAAGACTGAGTGCCCAAATGGAAATTCCAAACCTATTTATTTATCACAAAGTGCCAACACTGCAATTCAACCTGAATATTGAGGTTTAGTTTAGAAAAAATACAACGCTTAGCTGATGGTCAGCTGCTGGCATGACATGGCTCACACGCTGACAGAGAGGGCTCTGAGGGCTGCTGTGGCCCATGTGCCATAGGTTCACCACCACAGGATAAAACAATTGTGGGCAAGCTATATTATCCATATTTACTGAGCTATGCTTTAATATTCATCTCTAACTATTTTCTACATGGTTGGCACCACAAGAGATAAAAAGAACATTAAGAGAGAAAGACAAACAATGAAAACACATTCGAGGAGTAAAGAGATAAACATTTATTCATCAAAAGATTAGAATTAACATAGAAGGGGGAAGAAAAGCGAGATAATGCTCAATGTGAAAATACACATCCAAATTAGACAAATACGATAATTTCACAAATTGTGTTTACACTATGTTTGTCTTTCAGTGCCTCTTTTTTGAAGTGAAAACAGCTGGTGTATCAATAAGCATTACACTTCTAGATTTATGCAGTACGGCATACATACAGTGGTAAAAGCAAAGGTGGCCTGAACAGTGGAAACTGGTATCAGTCAATTTCAGTCCGTCAGTGTGTGTGCAGCTGAGAACTTGGATGTGGAGCACTGAGGGATCTGGGCTGGTCCCCAGCCCATCTGTGTTTCGGGGCTAAATGTCTACATCCGCTGCCCACACCCCTCGGGGACAGAATCTGACCCAACCAACAGGAGAAGCTGTTGTTACTGAGAAACAGAAGAAGCCAGCCTCCATATGAGGCTGTGTTTTCCTGAGGCAATTATACATCACATATGTTTTACTATTTGAATAATGTAAGAAGGTCTTCATTGCCACCAGCTACTGTATTTTCATTTCCCTATGTAATACTGACATCTAGAGGAATTCTGAACTGAACTGTTTTCGATAAACAGAAGTTGTGCGTGTACTCTTCTGTCTGCGGGCAGCAATCTTCTTAAACTTCAGTGTGAAGCCTTCTTACTTTGCATTCTCAAGCTCTGTATAGAAGTTTCTAAAATAGGAATCCAGGTTTGTATACACAGATTGCTTGTTGTCCAAAAATGAAACTTGCTTTCTGTCCACTAAAGCAGGCAGGGTCGGTGCTCTTCAGTATGAAGTTCCCAAAATCATTCTGTTCAACATCCCGCTAATGGAAAGAAAAGCCCATTAAGGGGTATGTTCCTCCTTTGAATTCACAGTGATGGCTGAGAAAAATCAAAGGACCTTGCTTCATTCAAATTCTTTTGCTTAGAAAATATTAAATATTTACAAATGGATTCCTTTGTCACTATCTGCCAATTCATTTTATAATAATTTACCAGTGAAATGTAGATGAAACAGGGAAGAAAGGGGACATGGCCCTGATGCCCGAATGCTCAAAGCACACTTCTCTTGGTATTTGTCCAGTTTGCTAGATGGATCTCCTCAGAGGGGCACATGTACCCAAGCATTACCCATCATAGCCATTTGGGGAATGTGAAGGAAATGCTTGAATTCCTTTCTATTTATTCCATTTCATATGAGCTGAATGTTTGTGTCCCCCAGACATTCATTTGTTGCAAACCTAACCTACCTCAGCATAGTCAGTCTGGTAAGAGGTGGGGTCTTTGGGTGGTGATTAGGCTGCAAGGTGGAGCCAGCATGCCTGGGGTTGGTGCCCCAGTGGGAAGCACCAGCAGAGAGCTCATCCTCTGCTCTCCACCATGTGTGCTGTGTGGCCACAGGAAATGAGCTCTGTCCTGACGTCTGCTCCCTGAACTGGGACTTCCCAGCTCTAGAACTGTGGGAAATAAATGCTTGCTGTTTGAGCCACCCAACCTATGATAGTACACTACTGAAGCCCAAAGTTATTCACTGATATATATATATGTATATTAGTATATATATATATGCATATATAAAATATATATAAATTATATATAGGGATATATAAAAATACATATTTCGTGTGTTTAAAAATACATAGGAATAAAATTGACCACGGAGACAATTGTTGAGCTGGTATAATAAATGTATAATAAATACTTGTATAATACAGTAAATGTTACTTATAAAAATAAATATACAAGTATTGATTATCAATGTGTATAATTTATAGATAAACATTTTATAGTGTGCCTAAAAGTCTCTTACTAATACCAGTCCAAAACCAACGTCGTTTGGAGACCACTCCTCTACGTAAAAGTATCTCTCCTCTTCTGATTTGCTGAAAATGTGTTTCAGAGAAAAGCCATTGTAATTAATAGGTCTGAGGGCAAGCACACCATTAGAACTATGAGTGCAATACTTGCAGTCTTGAAGCACTACTTTGAAGAGGCCAGGACTTACCATTCCAGTGACTATTTGGACGATTTAACCAGCCCTAAGTGTGCAGTCACTCACTCATCTCGTCTCCATTTGAAGTTTTACTGGTGGCCTCAGGATCCACCCCTGAACAGTGGGGCAGCCTCGGCCTGCAGCTGTGCACCTGGCTGCCAAGGCCTCAGTCTCCCCTCTCGCTGTGCTGCATTAAGGTTCTACTTTTCTTGACAGTGGGGGAATAGCCAAAACCAGAACTAATTCAAAACTAGCTGACTTTGGCTGCTCCATTTTTGAGTCCCATCCTATAAAAACTGGATTTTAAAAATTCAGGCTACATCAGGGAGCCAGGCTGCCCTGGGGCTCATCCCAAGTGCATCTGCCACCAATCCTCATATCCTTTGCTGTAGTGATGTCAAGTGATACCTACTGCCCTCCATTTTCAGGTTATAGTTGCTACAAGAAATTGGGTCCAAACCATCGGCATGGGACAGGACAGGATGGCATGGTGTATCTTCAGTAATGGCTTTGTGTATTGCTGCTTATGATTCTGAGATGAACATTTTATGATCATTTTTACCTAATGCTTACAAACATAAAAGTGAAATCGCAGCAATTTATGACTTTGCTAACCTTTGACTAGGCTCCTAGGGAAGAAAGAGAAATATAAATCTAAATGAATACAAAGAAGCAGACTCTTCAGAAGAAGTAGTAAAACTATGTTTCTTTACCGAGCATAAGAGATCATTTTAGAGATCATTTGTGAAATAAATCTATTTCTGTGCATCCTCAGCACACTCTCACGTTCTTTGTACATTAAGTGGAAAAACACCCCAAAGTCTTGGGTGGATAACAGGAAAGTTTACAAAG